TCACTATGCCCCGCTGAGGGTTATGAAGTGGCAGCCATTTTTAGGAGGAAAGATCGTTTGAAACTGTCGGTGGGAGATCACGATCAAAGACATACAATATAAGTAACGAGTAACATATATGACTATATAAAGACACTATATGAGCTTGTGAACGGGCACCTAATAGGTCTACCCTAAAATACCTAATAATACTGATAACCATTTGAGAACCATGCAAAGAAATTTATTGTTAAATTTGACCCTACTTTCTAGTGCTAAGAAATCATTCCTAATTTCACCTAATTTCTTTACTGGATGCTTACTATAAGGTAGGTGAACTTTCTCTAAACAGCAACCGACTCTATATTCCGTAGGAATTACCTACTTTTAATTGAATCGTGAATTTTGTCAACAGTTAAGTTCACAGAATTAGGTCACCAATCACTCAACGATGTTTAAATTTTCGGGGCAACCCTAAAAAAACCCGTAAAACAAATTATTTCCAAGTTGATTCAGTAAATTTCTTCAACGATTTATTAATTAACCTGATACAATTTCGCCCGCAACACTCCCGTTTGCTTAATCCGCCAGATGCCATTTCTCCTCTCGTCCGTCTCCTCGCCCGACACGCACGAGGTCCTCCCCCGGGGCGAGCTGGCATAATCCCTTGTCACTCGCTCCGTGATTTTGGAAACCGCTTTCTCGCCACTCTCTACCAAATTAGATGAGACGGAACAGATTCTGCGCAAGACAATGACAAGAAAATGACCGATCGAGTTGTCTTAGCGCTTCCTTGTTTTGGTCAAACAATTTAGCCACTAAGGAGTTTCGGAGGTTCGAGTGGTTAAAGCAATAGACGTGGAGAGTGTTACCATACATTATATTTACTTGCGCTATGCAACATCCTTACATACTCGGGATAGGTGTGTTGCTAGCATTGTGATTGGTGTCTCGGACTTTGTTGTTAAAGCAACGGGTTCGATGTCGGTCCTAAAGTCCTCAAATTTTCGACTTTCTATGTCGAATGCCCGACCATTGCATATTCTTTACACACCTATTGTATTGAGCATGGGTGAGTTTAACTAGACCACATGTTACTATTACTATACACGTCAATACATTTTGTTGCAGTGCGAGTCAGCTGATTGGCCGATTTCACTCCGAAGAAGCTACCGCACGCGGCGCGACCGTAACATCTGTTTCATTGCGCCGCCGAGTACGGGCAGAATCCCGATTGTCTCGCTTCCTTTCCCGTACCCGGAAACTGGATGATGCCCCATCTGCCGGCGGCGCCTGCAACTAGGCTTCCCAATCAACATACCGAGGATAATGAGCGAAGAATCCCCTAATAGGACGTGGCGTGCGCCAACTCGTCGTCCGTATATATCAGTGTATGTGGCAATTACAACGGGGAGCAATTCTGATCTAGAATGTGTGATGTGTTAATACGTGGAAAGGTCATCTGAGACTCGTACTTACGCAAAGCCAGCGTAATGAGCCAGTGACATTTCCTAGCCTGGATCCATCTGTTTGTTGGTCCGCTTTTTGCCGGGTGAAAAAGTTGCTTCGCCCCGTCGGGAGAGTACGTTCCTTTCGTGTCAGTTTGCATTCTAATTTGGAAGTAATTAGTCGCGTGGTCCTATGTTGAGCTGAATAATGGATTTTCATAAACCGGTAGTGAAATTTTGTTTAATTGAATCTTGTGGCAAATATGGACGAGAAATATGCTCAAGGGCATAATTTAAAAGATTGTCTGTTTAATTAGTTGTATTAAATACGGATTAAGAGATTATTCAATTAAGAAGTTGGACTACTTTATTTATCATGGACAATAATAATATAGAGTGCATGGAATGGAAGTACATTGCCCAATTCATGCTGTTGACTATACAACAGTTATATATTGAACGGCTTCAGCGCTACATTGAAATAATCAGGTATGTTAATTTGAACTGTTTGAATGCAAACGTTGGAAAATTCCGACGGGGACATTAACAAATAAAAAAATGCTGTAAACATTTTAAAATTGAACCTGCACTCATGAACCAGGATATATTTAAATCAAGGATGACATTAATTTAATTTGATTTGACCCACATTAATCAAGTCATTGTGTTTTCAAACCCACGAAAATATTTAAAACCTGAATTAATCGTCAAAAACTTAATGTTTACAGCTCATCTCATAGGTTTTAGTTAATTTTCGTGTTAAAACTATTTACATGAAAACCAAATAAATCAGTAGCCTAATGCGCCGTTTACATAGTAAGCTAGTGAGGAATATTTCCTAACATAGTTTACTAAATAATGTTGTAATATGACGAAAAATATAGTTCATCACACGGGAAATGTGTATTTCCTACCCTAATTTTCCGACCACATTTTCGGCTAGTAAACTTAGGCTCGGATCGAAAAGAATCACTTTACGCTCTAGTTATAAAATATACTGTATCGACACTACGACCTGTTTGTAGAATACCGAAGGAATGTATAATAAACCACAAGCTCAAAAAACCTTTTTTACAATAAATCACCAAAACACCTCTTGTTTTATTTTTAATAACCAAATCACCAACGCACCCATTCCATACACTTTACACTGACTCATCATTTCTACAGAGAGTGGCGGACGATCTAGTAACTATAACGGCTTTTACACTCGACCGGTAAACAAACGGTCGTAATTGACGTTCGTACGATCCTAGAGACGATTATCAGATGAGAGATAGGATAAGTGAAATACCAGGTCGTTCCTATCACTCGTCGCTCGTCGCTCCTTCAATTGATTACGATCTGTTAGTGACCTTTGGCCGGGGATTGAGCATTGTGTTGAAGTAATGGACGTGGTTTCACATCAGAAGCCGAACACCCACTCCCATCTCTTCCAACTATCTTACGTACCCAGCCAACATTGTGTTGAAAACTCCTGAGCCCATCTTGTAACACCAAGGAAATTAAAATTACAAGGTAAAATTGATAACTCCTGATTTGTGTCATAGATTTTAGTGATGGCAAGAAAATTGTCTGGGATTATATTTCTGATTTTTATCTACGATGTTTAATAGAAAAACAAAACATCATTATACAATGACAATGATAAATTAAAAAACCTTCTAAAATAAATACACTTGTACATTTTATACCGTTTGAGAACTAAATACAATATCAATAATACATGTACTAACGAGGGGTTTGTTGATAGGCTAGTGTCTCGCACTTCAGTGGAGGGTCGGAATTAATACCCCCGCATGTCTATAGAAGTTTAAGAAATTTGAACCAAATGATTTTAAAATATACTTGGCAAAAATTAATTTACGAAATTTTGCTGGCGTCAAAATTAACAAAGAAAAAAGCTAATTGGAGTTAAATTAGAATTTTTACATGAGAATCTTTAACTAGATGTAAATATCTAAAGATTCGTTTGTTTGACGATTTCGTTAATCTAAACAAAACCGTCAATTACAATTTTTTCCACTGTTACCAATCATTAATCCATCTTACGATGTAGGAGTGCTGAGAAACCTACAACAGGCACTAAATCTTATTCATACCATCCGACTATATTTCACTCTTACGACATAATCTTTCTCCACAGTAAAAACGATTTGCGCATCTGTCGAGTTGATCATATCCGCGACGTTGTACTCGTACGTGTGGATGTACGCAAATCATATACGTCGTGCGTCATAGTGATGGGACACTCACTAATTCACTCCTACACTAACATTATACGCTAGGATGCGCCGTGGCAGGCGTTTATCACAATGTCATGGTGCGTTGATATTTGTGCGATTATTTCCTCTGTTATCAACCAATCAGGCATCTGGTTCAGATTGATGACCAGCGCTTGAAAGTTGTCTTCTTCATTTTGGTTGGAGAAATGATTTATAGGCTATAAAATATTGTCAGATTTGAGTTTTAGGACAAGTTTGCTGTTTAAAGGTGTTAAATGGTCAAAGAAGTAAACGAATGTAGATTTAAACTAATCCATGTTTCACGTCTGCAGTGGAGCAGTAGACAAATAACTGTTTATGTCAGATGTAATTACAACCTGAAAACTAGTACACTGTTTTGTATTGTAAACACAACAATAGCTAAGGGTTGTGTAGGTGTAAATTGTGCTAGTAATCTTCATACAATTGTATTTCATTCAAATCCGTGGCTAACCTTGGTGTTCGCTGCGTTAACTATATTTTATCCAATCTAAAGACAATTTACACCACGTTATAGATGTAAGTACATTCAATGAACTTTACCCGGTGGGAAAATTACCAATAATGGTAGTATGATGGTTATAAGGTAGAATCACCCCGTCTACTTGTATAAATTGCACTCTATAGTTCATGGTTACTATTGCGCCTGCTTAGCCGGAAGGTACAGTGTGTTCGCGCAAACACTCGAAGGACGAAGTAAATACCTTCGATTATCATATTTGTTCCACTTAAGCCACTATAACATTCGTAAAGTAAAACTTTTATTAGATAAAACACAATGCAGATATAGATCCAAATTTCAATTACATAAAAATTATTAACACTACTACATACAAAAGAAATCTCTGGCTGACATTTTGATCGGTTTGAGATGACGAAACCGGAGAAACAATAAGATATACTGGTGCCAAGAGTGAGGAAAGTTGAAATATAGTGTTTGCAATGATGCCCCCGAGTCTTCTTATCAGTAGAACCTGTTCTGACGATTACACGTTTCTTTCAAACCGAGATTTGAGATAAGGACGTGATTACAGGCCAGACAATACTCCAGTGGGTCATATAGGTTGTGGGCGGACAGTGCTCCCGGGCTACTAGCCTGCTGCGGCCCTCCCTTAATTTCGTAATTGCTAAATTCCTTTCCTCGTGCTCGATATGTTTTAGTTATCCGACACGTTTGTACTGTAGATTGTCGATTTACTATGCATACTTGATGTCGTTTTGTTTTGCTAATCAGACCTTAACTTGGTAGTATGCTATGCATTCATAGATGGTTTTATGTTTGTACTAAGTATGTGATGGTTTGTTACAGGGTGCTGGCGTGACATAAAGTGATGAGTGTAGTGGACACAGCGACGGCTTGGTACAGCTACTACCCTCGCCTGTCGCAGCCCACTATGCGAGAGAAGGACTCGAGCCCCCGCAAGATGGTGTTGCCTACTAGTGGCCACAGTTCGCCCAAGCAAGCGGCCGTCTACCCTCTGTCTATCAGAGTGCCCGAGCCCCAAGATGACCAGCCTGCTGACGAGATGCCTTTTGACCTGTCGAGAAATACGAGGTCCTCCGGGCCCCACATGTCTCCAGCGGGTAGACCTCCCCCAGGACCCGCCGGTGATAGGGATGACGACCAGCCCTTGGATCTCAGAGTCGACCATAAGAAGTTGACACTCAGGAGGGACATGGAAGATGAAAATCAGAATTTGATTCTTCGGACTCCTTCTCCAATCGAGAATGGTCCTATGTCTCCCTCTGAAAAAGACGCTGAACTCCAACTGAGAGTTCGAGATAGAAACCCTAGTCCGGAGGTTCATAGCCCTAGAGCGTTGAATTCCTATCCCGTACTATTTCCTCCTCAACCGATCCACCCCATGATGTTGGAGATGTACCGAGGGGTAGACAAAGTTCCCAGGTTACCTATTCCCTATTCGACCGCTAGTCCGCCGGGTTACCACCACGGCCGTTCTTACCTCTTCCCCAACCCGTCGCTGCTCAACGGCCACCCGGCTCCACCCCCGACCTCTCCTCACTTCGACGTGATGCGTGCTCAGCACCCGGCACTGCAAAACTCCTCACCGAAGCCTTACCCAGAGGTGGCGTCGGGTGTCGGGGGCAAGCTCAACAAGGACCGGTACGCGTGCAAGTTCTGTGGCAAGGTGTTCCCTCGATCGGCTAATCTGACGAGGCATCTGAGAACGCACACGGGCGAGCAGCCATACAAGTGCAAGTATTGCGAACGCTCCTTCAGTATCTCATCCAACCTACAACGCCATGTTAGGAATATTCACAATAAGGAGAAACCGTTCAAGTGTCAGTTGTGCGATCGGTGTTTCGGTCAACAGACCAACCTAGACCGCCACCTGAAGAAACATGACGCGGACGGTCCGACGATCATGGACGACAGGAACGGCGGAGGGAGAAGTCCCTCGGTCGTGCATCCCAACTGCAGACCGCGGATGATCGGAGAAGAAGGCTACTTCGAAGAAATGCGGTCCTTCATGCGTAAAGTGAGTGCGGAAGAAAATATGACGATGATTCACAGAACAATCGTACCGCCACCTAGTTACGGGTTCGGCCATTCGCACCCGCAAGAGGACGTGGACGGGCGGAAACAAAGAGACAGTTTGAGTAGCAGTGACAAAGATAACTTTTCTTCGCGTTCCTCGACGTCTAGCATGGGTTCGTTTTTACCGCCGGCCTCACCTATGAAGGAAGGCCCTGGGTCACCAACAGATAGTCACCGGGAGGATGGGGACCGTGTGGAGGTGGCAGGGACCAACAACACTTGAGACCTTCATGGGTCAGAGAGCGAGTGCTAGTCATCCCGAGGAGTGTGCATACAGACTTACGATTTGTACCATTTTATCGTATTTTATTTAAGTTACCAAGTTCTATTTCTTCTTCCACTGTCCTTACTCTAAGTTTAAATCCTGCCAGAGCAACTTTAGTGCTCAATAATATATTTTCACATGTGTTCAGCAATTTAGGGTAGGCATATACTAAATGTTCTTTAACTTGGTAAGCAGCATTTCCGTTACTTTTGTCAGAGTATATAAGTTAATAAAATAGGGGTTTTCCAGTTCTGAGCAAAGCTGATCCTATATGCACCAAAATGTCTTCGATCAAGTACATACTTAAATGAATAAAAATATTTGTTGTTAATACAGTATCGAGAACCACTATGAGGCTTAAAATAAAACGATAACTTTACCTAAAATCTCTCAACATTGAATCTACCACTTATCAAATGTATACAGTATGCATTTTAATTAAGAAAAGTATTTCCCAAATAACTATAGAAGACAAAATTACATTCGGTAAGTAAAATAGAGCGTCAAATTTCTTAAATTTTTTCAGTGATATCACCTTTCAAAAAGCCGTAAACAAATTAACCACATAAACATATCTAGATCAACATTCGTGATTGAGTGAAATCCGGTTGAGCCCACCCACCATTTGGCGAAAGCAGTCGCCTAATGTATTATACTGGGCCCTTAACCGACAAATCAAAACCTGGCGGGGAAAGTGACCTCTTAGCAGCAACTTAATTAGACGAACTGGAAATTTGAGAGGAATCAATCCCAACAGCTGCTACTCAAGTATACACAGATTTCCCAGGGATATTGTGAGATTGATTAAATTAAAAAAAGGAAATAATTCCATAATTCTAAATAAACACTTGTAGCAAAGTGTATTTTAATTTATTTTCATCTCTAGAATAGATAAGTAAATCATAACATCCAAAATTGATTTAACTTTTATAATTACAAGTGCAAAAAATTTTATTGGATTTTATTTTTCATGTTGGATTTTATTGTTTATTGAAGTATATATCTATCTGATTTCAGACATTCAGAAACATCAGTGGTTTTAAGAAAGGGTAGAAAAATATTAAAAATTATTTCTGATTAATCTTGTTGGTTGCCCACAAGAAAACTTTGGAACTTAAGTTGCTGCCATTGCAAATCAAGAAGTTATAATAAAGAGTTTAATACAGATAACCAGTGGTGTACTTTTAATACAAAATATGTCAAATTAAAATATTTTAGAACAACTATAAAAGGCTACATTAAAATGTATTCGGAATTTCTTTCTTGTTTCTTAAGCATGTTCTTTGTACTGTAGTAATCAAACTGTGAAGTAAACATCTATATCGAATGTTTTTAATTAGATCTTGGGATTGAATTCCGACAAATGTAATTGTCAATGCCGCTTTATTATTAATTACCTTAATGTAAGTTTACAATAGTCATATAGTTCTTCCACAAATTTTAAATAGTGTGTACAAATTTTAAAGAATTGTCCCTAGCTTGTTATATATCTTTAGTGGTTTTAGTTTGTTGTTCTATTCTTTAAAACTTGTACTTTCTAGAGCCCTTTAATTACGGTAAAATTCTGACACCTTGTTAAATTTGATTGCTGTTATATTTTTGTTAGCTTTTCAAGTGTTTACTACATTCTACTTCACTTTTAAAATTATTATAGTTAAAGTTGGATCTAATTTGCTCTCTTGTGCTCTCTAAAAATTCAAATTTGTTCCTATTTTTATTTTATAAAAAGATTAAACTTAACATGGCTTATGGTAGCCAGGTAACTAAAATACGATCAGGTAATATGTTCCCTATGACAATTGAATGGACAAAAATGTGTATGAAAACTAATTTTAATGTTCTGTTTTTACGTAGTTTTAATGTATTCTTAGTTTTGTTGGAATGATAGCTTTATAGCTCTGTGATATAGTCTTGGTGTATTGTGTTATTCACTGACTGGTTGACCCATTTTTACATGTTGGTAACTGTTTTGTTTGTATCGATGGATTTTTGAAAAGAATAATTGCGTTGGTATGTCCTTAGCAATGACATTTTCTATGTCGTATGATTTATGTATGAATCGCTAAATACTTTTAAAAAGTTTCGTATAACGGATTGTTTTCATTTATAAAGACAGCGTCTTCTGGTTCCTCCCTCACTTAAGTAAAGTCGTCAAAAGGTTATGCCTTTTATTAGCTTAGTGGTAAAATTATACAATTTTAGAATGTATGCCTTCGAGGATATGATTGTTTAGATAAAAAGTAACCAATTCTAAAAAGAGCTTACACACGATCACCATTAATTCCACAATATTTTCAAATTACAAATTTAGAAGTTTTGCTCTACACAGATGAATCCAAGCTATACTGAAGTGAAAGGAATTGTTTTGTAAGCTACCGAACAGCAAAGTACTTTGTAAGAATTGAACATTCGCATGGAATTAAGTACAATTGAAAATGAAAATCATAAAATGTTACCATAACTGTTAGGGAAGGGTGCTTCTATCCCTAGTCAGTATACCACGCAACTTGTATATACAGAGAAAAGGTCGCGACATGTACAAACTCTAGGTATTTATTCAGATAAGATTTAATATATTGACAGTTTTGTAAAGAATTTACGTAGACTGTATAAGTAGTTTTCACTATATATATTTGTACTGCCGGACATTGTGAATGTCCTTTTATATGAATTTGTATACAATATGATTTTTTCGATAAGAGAATAAATATATTTAATATACTGTTATTCTGTGTGGTGATTTAGCCTTATCTTTGATACTAGTTGTTTTTGTCGACATTTGGTTTTTGGCAATCAGAAGTCCTCAAACATTTTCGGTACGAGGATAGTGTTAATAGTATTTATTTTATTGATCTTTTTGCCTGCGTTACAAAGATCACTAAATATATTTAGGTGGCTTCATAAATCGCAATGGCTTGGTTTTTGTTTAAAATTTCTTGGAAGAAACAGCCTAGGGTGCAACATCATTAAAACGTTCAAAATATATATTTTTTCATTTTAATTTTTATTTTGTTTTATTCCTCAGAATTTCCTCTTTAAATTGAAATATAACACTGCGATAGTTTTTGTTATCTCTAAAATTTAAATAAAAGTATAAACAATGTTGAGTGTTACAATGTAGTCACTTTTTCTTTTCATAGATTTCCTCTATTATTTTTTTTACTTTGTGGACACAAATCTAAAAACCTATAAGATATACAAGGACCAAATGTTTACACATGTTTATACAACCACTTACCAATTCCTTACACAGGGATTTGTATTATTTGTTAACCTAAACTATGGTATCTTTTAGTAAGAAAAATTCAAAATTGCAATATGTCTCATTATTTGCTATGACAAATTTATTTGTATGGATAATTTTAAAAACCCTGTGTACCCTGTGAACTAGACTATTTTTATTCAAGTAGAATATAGCCGTACACATAATATGCCAATGTATTATAGGTTTCAATAATTAATGTGTCATAAGAGACGCTATGGTGAAGTAAGAATCTCTTCTAGTTTAGTTTAGTTAAAAACTCCGCTTTTGACACAAAGTAATTTATAGACGCACACTCATAGGCTCAATTCAAACACTATTTTGAATTGGCAATGAATTTTAAAATAAAACATTACGTGTACAACTACTGATCAAATATTGTAATACCATATTAATTCAAACAATTCATTATAAAAAAAGAAGCTCTATAAAATATTGGTAAAAGAAAACCACTTTGATAACTAACTCTAACTGATGCATGGCTACGTATCATGCAGATTTAATAGGCAGTCACTATGGTGAATGAAAAAGTACACACTATTGAGCACACTAGTGAAAGGGGTTTATAGTTACAAACAAATACAGAATAATAGGTTATATTTGTTTGTTGGTATGAATGTAAAAAGACACATGATATAACAAAAACTGAAGTGTTACACCACCGCCACCGTTGAGTCCAGAATATAAGACTTTTTGCGAAAATCTTGTCACTAATACTAATTTTAACTTCATCATTGAGGGAATTTAACAAACGTATTGATTGAACATGAAAAGAATTAGTATATTATGACTGTCTTGTGTCTAGGAAATTATAAAATATTATCACCAAAACGTGTCTGTCTAAGATGAAAATTCCTCATAAATCTATACCTAATTCTTAAATAAATACATTGGTTCATGACTTTAATAGTTATGACATTTTCATTCAGTCAAGGCCATCTGATTCTCCAGGAACGCAAGAATTCCATTGAATATGTGTTCCATTGTTTGGAACTCAATTTCACACTCACAAGACTTAAAGTGTTTCAATCCCTATTTACACGTCTCATTATTACACATTCGTAATTAAATGTAACTCCTTAGTTACAACAAAGCTCAATGACAAAGAGTGATTGTTTTCAAATTTATCGTATTTTTTTCATAAATTTAAAATAAGTATCAATCCAGGAAGATTATACAACAAAATCTCGTTAAAATTGTATAAATAATAACATTTTAATTGTGTCTAATGTTTAACTATTTATTTTGTGCAACAGGTAAAATAAAATAGGAAAATTTGAACTAGATACATAAATATTTGGTGGATAGCGGGTGACTGCCTTACTATGGTCCCCTTATAATGCATAGTTTCGATTTGTTATCAAAGAGTTATCTTTAGTCAGTATATTTGTTGTAAAAGTTGTTGTTAAACATTATAAAATACAATTCTTTCAAAATTGAAGAATTGAACTCAACCTAATTAAATTATAACTACGTTTTAATAATTTAGTTTTATACTCTAGGTTCCCTTATAGAGATATTTTTATGGGTTCCACTAAAATTCTAAAACTACAAAACGCCTGTCGTTTATTTTAAGCGTATAATACGATAAAACTAGTTATATATATATATAGCAGATAATATGGAAAACAAAACATCAAGGTAGTGTATAAATCTGGACAATCTGGTTTATTCTTTATTGGAATATATACATATCAATCAATATTTTTTACCGACAAACATACCTAGTAATCAAAGCCAGTAGTGAAGTTAAACTGGGTGAGTTTATTGGAAAATGTCCACAGCATAGCATCATTGACTTTATATTATAATGTCAACAATAGCATCTAACGTTGTTATCTCAGTTTAAAAATAATTTTGAGGAGCCTTCCCCTCAACGTATGGATGGCTACAGATAGGCGTAGTTAGCGTATGATATAGAAATGTTGGTACAGTCAAATCAAATCAAATCAAATCAAATCAAATTATCTTTATTCACTTTATACATTTTATATACATGAATAGTGTCAAAGCATACAACATTAGTTATAAAACTTAATCTAAATGGCTTAACCATAAATTTGACAATTATTTTAGAATGGACAGCTAATTCATTTATGATTTATAAACTCATCTATACTATAGTGAGCCAGATTAATTAAGAATGATTTTAGCTTTTTCAAAAAATTGGGTTTGTTTTGATCTTTTTTTAGTAAGGCAGGCAAACTTCTTATGAATAAATTGCCAATATACGAAGGCTTCATTTTTGAAAGTTTCAGACGATGATGACTTTTTACAGTAAGATTTTTCCACCTTGTATTGTATTTATGGGATACTTCAGTGTTTTTATCTTTATAAACATGCCGAATAGTTTTAAAAATATACAAACCGTACACTGTAAAAATTTTCATTTCTTTAAAGTACTTTTTCACCGACTTCTTATTCTTAAATTTTTCAATAACTCTAATGGCCTGTTTTTGCAGTTTTAAAACCTTTTTCAAATTTTTTTGTGCTGTCCCACCATAAATTTCGATTCCGTAGCCAATATGACATTCTATAAGCGAGTGGTATATCAATTTTAACACAGCTTTATCACAGAGATAAGCCATTGATCTCAAAACAAACAAGCCTGAATTAATTTTACCAACCAAATATGTAATATGTTCATTCCAATTTAGATGTTCATCAATTATCAAGCCTAAAAATTTAGTTGATTTCACTTGATTGATCGGCTTATTAGTTATATTATTAGTTATCAGGCTTATTAGGCAGTTATTAGGCTTATTAGTTATCAGTTTTGGCACTATACAAATTTTACTTTTTAATAATCATGGATCTAAGGTGGTCTAGGATTTTCATTTTCTAGTGGGACACAAATAGCTCTTTACATAGGAAATCTCGACATCGAATTATGCTTATAAGTACTTATTATGATAATTGTTATAGGATTTAATCTTTGAAATAATAAAGTAAACATGTGACTTGTACTACACAGCGTTTTAGCTATATGAATTCCTTTCTATACAGAATATGTTAATATATATATATAATTAGTCGTAAGAAGGATTTCGAAAAATTTGTTGAAAATAAATAATATTACGATCAACACGTTTTCAATTAAGTGGAAGGAAAACTGTTTGAATCTTTGCTCTTTGTAGTATAGATTTAATGTTTAGTAATATGTGGCTTTTACATAATCCCAAAAAAGTTATGTTTACTTCATTTACTTATGTTATGTTTGTTTCATTAACTCAAGAACGCATTTAAACATTTTACAAGGAATTTTAAACATCTAATTTACAAAAGGTTAAACTATATCAGCATTCTACATATGATTAGAAAGAGTTACCACGTAAAAAAATGAAAGAGTAATCATAATGTGTATTTTAAGCTAGAATATTAATTATTCATACAAAATTGAAATATGTAAATTAAAACCTATTAAATAACAACGTATTAGCTTAGTTTATTACTGACTTAGTTTCAAAGTTATTCCAAACTTTGAGTTATACATAGTCTATAACTTTAAATAGTTTATTCATTTTATCTGCACTAGCAAATTATCTAATATGTCGACAATAATAACCGTTATAGAGTTTGATACAAACATAACATTGAAAATGTGGTTGGCATATAAATATGGCAATACAAAAATGCATTATGGCAATACAAAAATGCATTAAATTTATTCACACATTTTACACACGTCTGCTTGCACATTGAAAAATAACATTGTCTTCTTTGAAGGGTATATATACAACTCAACTGTTTCGCTACTTCCAAAAAACCTCATTTAAAAATATAAATTTGTGTTAATATCCAAAACCCATTTAATGGTTACAATGTAATTCAATAATACCAAATTTTAAAACAATCCAAGAAGGAGTATTTTGTTAATAATTTGAGCTTACGTTTAGATAACTTGACATGTAAAATATACATCATATAAAATCTTAAGCAAACATGTCAAGTGGTTTTGATAATTGTCTAAACTTTATAAACATGAAAGTAAACTAAGTCTACCTCCCGAAAAAAATCAAATGACTTCCACCATCTGCTCTCAAACGATAATTAATACAATTTTCTTCTTCTCGTTCGATATACTTTATCTTTAGAGGTCTGAATATTCCTGCCAGAAGTACAAGTTTCCAAATATGACCTGATATACCAGTTAAAGTTTATGACTGTGGTCGTTAAATATGATTGAAGGCAGCGGCAGTGAGTTGTCAAAATAAGGCTCTGTGACTAAGCGAACCTCTTCATTAGAAGATTCCTTGGAACAAGTGTAAATTCACTTGACAGGACGTTCATCCTGGAACAGCTGATTTGGCTTTGCGCCTCAATGTCATCTGGAAGTGTTCCTTGCTGATATATCATCAGCTGACTTGCACGAATGACAGGTTTTTATGTATATTCGTTGGATGGAAATTGCAGAAGAAGACGAGTAGGATAAGCTAATCGACGGTTACTTTTGGCACAGGTATTG